CTGCCCTTCTCTGTCAAACAGCCAGTGAGTCCTCCCAGGTACCTTGGCCTAGAGCAGAGGTCGGTAACCCCCAGTGCATGTGCCAGAGCATGGCACATGAGGCTATTTTGCTCGGCACACCACAGCTGGCAGCTGCCACTGGTTATAGAACCTGGGCTGCTTGCAGCAGGTGAAAAGAAGGCTGCAAGCCCTGCTGTGAGCAGTCTAGGATCTGTGGCAGGCAATAGGGGCCTGCCCAGAGCCCAGGTCAGCTGTGGCAGTCAGCCAAGAGGCTGCAACTAGTGCACCAGGGTCTGGAGCCCTGGCCTGGCTCCGTGGGTGGGGGCAGCTGCACATGTGCCTCAGGATGCACAGTGAGGAAGGGGCCAGGACAGTACAACCCCATCACTGAGGTACACCAGCCCTCAGCTATTCAATAGCTGGATGTGTATGATGGGTCAGAGACAAGTGCAGTAGGTGCTTCAAGTCTTATGCCCCTTAGGGTAGCATTCTGGTTTGTTTGTTTTCTGGGTGCCTAGATGATGATCTCTAAGCCCCATGCAGATTGGCATTCTATTCTACCTGTGTGAATGGCTACCTACCCATACAGAAATAGCATGAGGGCTGGAGCAAATGTTGTAAGTGCCTACCTAAGATTATAGACAGATCTAACAATTATATTGCTGTCAAAGGATACCAATACAAGCTGTTAGGATGCAACTCTTAATGTTTGCATGATTCTACAATGATACAAGTATAGCAAAACTGATTTAATTTTAACCCTGTTGCATTCAGGGTCAAAGGTAGGATGGTTTGGTTCACTTGGATCACTACAAACTCAGACTGATGTAACAATGTAAGAGCTGCTGCATGCTCCTGAGCTGCAGCTCCCCTTCCCCTCTTTGAAGAGTCTAAAATGTACGTTTGTCCGTATCCTGAGTAATTTCTGTTAGTCAAATACTAAAGTATTGGGCTCAGTACAGGAGTAACTAAATGAAATTGCAATATGGATACAAGTAACACTTAGGCCAGTTTGTCAAGGCAGAATCTATCTAAATTACATGTTTTTTTGTAAGCAGTGTAATTTTTATTTGTAGCAAATAGAGCACACATTTGCCCTTTGTTAGGGGAAGCTAATCTTAGACCAGGTTCCACCATTTTTAAACCAGTCTATATGTTCAAGACTTCTGTTCTGTTATGGATGTAGACTGGTTTCCAGTCACTTATACCAGTAAAAGTGTAATATCTGTACCTGGCCTTTAAGTGCAGGTTAAACCTGAAGTTGCCAGGTTTACAAGCCTCTTAAACCAGTTTAAAGCTTCCTGGAAAGGTTCATAAGCATGCCTGGAAAATGAAGTACTTTTTTGGACAAGTTCACTGCGAATCAGGTTGGTCTTATATGTGGACATCACCTGTTTTGTGACATGAGTTGGTCCTCCAGGCATCCCACACTGCATTGCTTCCCTACCCTGCTCCCTCCCCTCCACCTATAACTGGCCACTCTGGTACGTAGCCAAAAATCTACTGCCTCTTTTTTCCCCTTTTGTTAGTACTTTTTGTCAGTGAGCTCCTTTGCATTGCTTGTTCAATAAAAACTATATTTCCAATTAGCAGTGCCCTCACTTCCTACTTGACTGTGGCCCCTCATCATGCCTTCCCTTCTCCTGGGAACCCCAAAATCTAGGTCTAAGCACTTCCTCCCCTCCTGGGAACCCCAATCAGGCAACCAGGCTGCAGAGTTAGGTCAAGTGCAGACTACTGAACTTTACTGTGCTTATGTTTAGAAGAGAAGGGAACACAAAGAAATGGAAAAATCTGCTCTCCTCCCATCCCAGCCACATGTCACCCACCCTCTGGAACTGCCAAAGCATGGATGAAAGCACCTACCTCCCCACCCCAATTCACCCACTGAGGGCCTTGTTACATGGTAATTTTGGGTGGCTCCTGAAACTCTTAATACCTGGATTGTCTACATATTAACACGTGAAGCTAGTTTTAAGCACTCGTTATGTGGCTCAAAGATGCACCACTCCAGGGTAGGATTATTTCCAATCCATGTTACCCAGCTTGCATTACACTAAGGTGTAGCCACTCTAGGCTACACTTACTGTAAACACTCTACACGGCCCCCTCCCCCACTGGCCAGGATTAGGCCCACGTTCCCCCTCCCCCACATACCCAGACTGCACTCCTCAGCACCAGAGATCCCCGCTGAGTGCCTCCCTACCCCACCCTTACTTGTGGCTGCCCACACTGTCTGTCCTTGGGAGCAGGCAGGGAAGGATTAAACTGCCTGCCCAGCGACTGCCACTGCTGCTTCCTGGGTGGGTTCAATCCAGAGAAGAGCAGCAGCCCAACAGTGACTTCCCCTCCCTGCCTGCTCCCCTAGGACAGACAGTTTGGGCAAGCCACAAGTAAGTGGGACAGGGGAGTCAAGGGAGGAACCCTGGATGGTGGGGGGCAAGTGACAGGGGGGGAAGCCTGGAATGGGAGGGGGGTTAGGGGTTTTCACCTTTCAGTCCCCTAGGACTCTGCTGGCCTGAACACGATTACTTCAAACTCGAGCCAGCACTAACACTGATCAACATTTGTATGGCTCTCTGTGACAAGTAACAAGGCCCTGTGAAGTATGCTGGGTTGGGTGCTCACTCCTATGCGCTATTGTCAGAACCATGGCACTTCAACGCCTAAAAGGTGGCTGTTCCACCTGGAATGCTAGTGAATCGTGTGTGGACACCTCTGACCTGCAATGACTGTGAACTTGTTCCCAATCAGTGACATCTGAGAAATGTTCAGCTGTTAAATGTGTCCACATCTGTATATGGCTTGTGTTCTAAACATGGACAGACCAGAAGATCTACTAGTCCCCTCTAGCCTGAAAAATAAAGGTCTAATCTTATTCTTAAAGGAATTTGGTTCCAATCAGTTCTAACATAATTTGTTAGAAAGGCCAATCAGTTCTAACATAATTTGTTCCTGAGAAGTTAGAATAAATAAAACAACAACTATTTACAAAACTCAATTTAATATGTTATTTTTGCCACCACAGAAACAATTTGCCAGCATCCTTGGCTGACCAGGAGCTACTGTGAGAAAAAGAAAGTTCAAGGGGAAAAGACAAACAGAGACTAAAGCCAAGTCTTCACTTAAACTTGTATAGTCATGTTGATAAGGGATGTGATAAAGTGTGATGCTGAAAGAATAGAAACCCCACTATAAGCATAAATATACTGGCAAAATTACTTTTTATATTGTCTGGGGATTTGTCAGCATAAGCTGCATTATCTTGGCATGCTTATGGTGGCAAAGCATATTTCTATTGTGGACTAGGCCTTAGAAGTGCTGGATGCCCCCAACTCCTTTCATTTCCCTCTAGAAAATAGATGTGAATGATTTTAAATGAGATTTAAGTGTAAAGTATTCAGAAGCACTAAAGTGATTGGGCATCTGTTTTCCAAAGTGGTTTAGATATTTATGAGCCCAAATCATATTCCAGCAGTTGCCAAACCAAACAAAGGGCTATTCCAACCCATTTGGGGCCTCAGCACTTTGAGTGGGCTTGTAGAATCCACAGACTGTAGATAGGCTCACACAGAAGCAAGGTCATAAGCACACATGAGCTGACCAGAAGTTGGGTCATGAGTCCAGAAGTGGGGCTGCAGCCCAGAAAAGGTTGGAAATCACTGCCCCATTGACTTACAGTGGTGCCATAAGCTCCAAAGTATCAAAGTCATTCTTTAAAACTGGATGAAGGAGCCTATGTCACTTAGGGGTGTACTTGGTAGCTGTGTTCATCTGAGACAAAAAGACATACAAAAAACTAGAACTCTTGGTTCCAAAATGATACCTTTTATTAGACCAACTGGAAAATGGCAAGAAAATTGTCCTTTTCTGAAAGCTTTCAGGATCAAAGTCCCTTCATTAGGCTCTGGGAAAATTGTAGATGATACAAGATGGTAAAAAGTCCCCATAGGTAGGAAATAAACTTCATTTTTGCACAGAGGGAGCTGAAGATGGAAGTCTGTCCCTCTGGGTCCATGAGAGTGTCTTTGTGAGCTGTGCTGAGTTGCTCTTTGATGCGTTGACCAGCTAGAATTCCTTCCCTGGAGGTGTCAGATGGCAGGCAGGGAGGCAAAAAAACTTCCTTGTTGTTCTGCAATGAAGTTTAAAATCCAAAATCTGCTGAAATTCGGCATCTTCCATGTTTCAGGGGTGTACTTGGTAGCCGTGTTGGTCCGAGTCCCCCATGGGGACTTTTTACCATCTTGTACCATCTACCTTTTCCACAGAGCCTGATGAAGTGACTTTGATCCCGAAAGCTTACAGAAAAGGACAATTTTCTTGCCATTTTCCAGTTGGTCTAATAAAAGGTATCATTTTGGAACCAAGAGTTCTAGTTTTTTATATGTCCTATGTCACTTATGAACTTTTGAATTTTTTCTGTCCCACTTCTTGTGCTTGACCCTCAGTGGGCACGTCTACACATGCCCCTACGGCACCACTGGTACTGCACTGTCATTTAGTCCTTCCTTTTGGAACAGCCCATACTGCGCTGTCCGTGTGACACACTGTTATTTTTAGCTGGTACGTCTCAGTAATGACGCACTATACCAAGGGAGCAATTTGCATTACAGCAATGCAGCTGCAGTGTTATGGTATTTGTATGGCGACATAGTGTCACATGTAAATGCACCCACTATGATTATGTTTTCTCACCTAATTTACCAGGTACAAGGAAGGAAAACTAAACAGAAATGACCCAAACAAAAACACTAGATCTGGACATTTCCACATTTTGCAGACAAAGTGAAGTATGATAAAAGAAAAGGAATGTAGCACAGGAAAAAGCGATAGTAATATCAAGTTTCCAAACTGTATCACAAATAATAGAAAGTCCAAAATTATTAAAATTTCTGTAAGAAAGTGCTTAATAATATGTTGCTAAACCAGGAAGATTAAGCAGATGACAAAAATTGACAGAGACACACAGCAGATTCAAAAGGCTTTTTGCTGTTTTACAGGGCAGTGGATCGTCCCTTGCCTCAGCTGTTCTGACAACAGAACCTGTGACTGGCGAGCAATAACGTGGCAGCCACAAAACTGTCATCATGCTGTCCTGACTAAACCTGAGCTCCAGCAATGTGTTGAAGGCAGAAAGGTACATGGTGGATTTAACCTTTATATCTGCTGCATCTCTAGCAAAAGATGAAGATTCCATTTTTAGTCACTTCGAAATATATATTCCAGATATTATGTACTGGTGCGAATATACATGTTGTGATTAAAGAAGAAATAACTATTTATTTTTATTTTAATCCACAAAGATAAAAAAACAATAATTGTGCATTATTCAGTCCATTATATTATAATAGTGTTGCATTGTTTATTTAGCCTAGTAATCTTGTCTGTGGCTGTTCCAAGTAGCAGATGGAAAGTAACATAGGCCATCATTTGGCACTGGTGGGATTTCAGAATATAAAATGTGTACTTGTCAGGAAGTGAAAAAGTGAAAAATAAGTTTTAATTGTTAAAGACTGACATATACTTTGCATGCAAGCTCTGTTTCTGCTGCTGTATACCTAATGCATGGCATTGCTTGTGCATACTAATCTTACCAAGTCTTCTTGCAAATTCTTTTCTTATAGTGAAGCTTCTAAGGTGATTGCTTGGAAATACAATGTCTCCTTAGTAGGCATGATATGACTGTATAACATTTGAGAGAGTGATCTCTGATCTGAGACTCAGGTACATTAACTGGGGATACAAGTGTCCAGAAAGTAAGTAAATAATTGTTATAAAGATCTATGAAAATATATTTTCAAGTTTAAAAGTGAATGTATTTTAGGTTAACCCAGACATTTTATCTATTCAGACAAGTAGAAGAGATATCATAATCATCATTCCTCTGATATTTTATTTGATAGTTTCTTCTTATCTAGTTACTCATTATCAAGCACAGAGTTCTACATTGCCTTTTGGCTTCTTCCCCTGTGGTTTTTTCCCCAAGAATGGGGCTGTCTTGGATTGTGATGATTCATTTACAAACTGTCTTCTGTTCTTAGTTAAATTAATGTAACCAGGAACAATCCACAAGTTCAAGCTGTAGACTACACTAGAAGTCATTCAATAGAGACTTTATGTACTTTTTCTATTGCTAGAGTCTCTGTCTCTCTTTCAGTTTACTGCCTATTGCTCAATTGTGAGGTTCCATGTAGCTAAACTCCATGTGAGACAGTGAGTGTGCACAGTTTCTAAGGCTTTGTCAAATTTTATTTTTATATGTACAGCAAATGTATTGAGTTGAATATGGACTTTTGTTTTATGTATAAGACAGCTAGCTCTGGAGTGAGTGAGGTTACAAATGCAAAGGAGCTGGCTGGTCTCAATCCAGTTCTTAGTTTACATGAAAATGGGTCCACACATATATCTCTGGGGCAGTTCTAGGGCAGCCCCAGACATGCCATGTGCAATGTAAGGCACCATACAAAGCAGCCACAAAAATATTCTACATTTCATGCAGAACACTTTTGTGGTTGGTTTGCCATTTTATGGTGCTTTAAATTGGGTGCACATGTAGCCCCCTTGCCATTTATGCTGAGATTAACACATTAACTGCAGCACAAATATAACCTATAGAAGGATCCTAAGGTGCCACCCTGCCATGCCTTTTGTCACCAAAAGCAAAATTGGACAAACATTTGTTAAAGGATCATTAAAGCAAAGGATATATGTTTAAAATTCACATGATCTCCATTATACTGTTATAAATCTTGAATATTGCCAGGAAAGGCACTGATTTATTGAAGTATCAGATAAGACTCAGGCCCTGTGTGAACTACAGTGTCTCTGTTAGTGGTACAGTCCAAAGAAGAAAACAAAAACTTTTATTTAGCTAGTTGGATTTCTGTTTTCTTTCTTTGCAAATGTATTAAATCCAGAAGCTTTATCAAATAGTTTTCATAGGCGGTAACAATATTCTTAATGAATACTTTTGTCTCAGCAGGTATATTTGAGACTTTTCCCCAGAGGTCTTTTCTTTTATTAAACCTAATTTCATTGTATTTTCCCCTCTGGTATTATTTTTCCTTTAACTTTGAATTACTTTTAGCTCTATGAAGCATTTTGAGAGAAAATTTGTGTTTCTTACTAAACTAACTAGCAATAGATGCTAGTTTACCTTTTTTATATGAGTAGATCCTCTGAAGCAAAAGGAACTTAATTTGTAAGTTAGATGAGCAGAAGCAGATCCAAATTTGGATTGCTTTAAACCAGGGGTGTCCAATTCAGATCCACTGCTGCCACTGCCTAGGTAACCATAATAGCCATTGCTGCCATTGGCACCAAAGTAGCTGCTGCCATGGTGGTCACAACTGCCTAAGTGGCTGCTGCCCAGGTACAGATCCAACACATGGGAAGCCCTGCAGTCTGGATTCAGCCTGGGGCATGGGGTTGTGGTGGCAAATTGCAGCGACTACCTTGGCAGCAGTGGCAGTGGCAGTGATCACTATGGTTACCCCAGCAGCAAGTAATGGATGAAATAGCCAGAGACATAACAAACTCCTTCAGTGCCAGGGAAGGAGGAGGGCACTGGATATGCTGACCTTAGAGAGTTGGTGGGGGTGGAGGAGAGGGAGTGAAGTCTTGCTTGCCACTACTCTCCACAGAGTGAAGGCTGCTGATGTTGCTGCTCCTGCTGCTGCTTTCTATAGCAGCACTTACTCAGGCAGATCAACCCCATGGCCAGGCTCCCTGGTGGAAGCTGCCCTTAGTGCAATCATTCACTTTCCCCATACCCCAAGTATGTTACTGGGTACAGGGCTGCTATGGCAAAGACTTTCTGGGGGTAGTGAGGAGCAGTGGAGGTTCTGAAAAAGATTTCTTCCAGCTGCCCCTGTCTGGCTCCAGTGGTTGGGAAGGGACAGCACAGTGGCAAAGATTTCTGCAGTCAGGGGTGACTCTGAAGTAGTTAGTGCTTGAGTATGGTGCTGTCACTGCTGAGCCCTAGTTAGTCTGCTAGAAACAGCTCTGGAGGCCAGATCCAGCCCATGGGTTCTAAATGTCTGATGGCTATGTATGTTGCATTAAATTATTAGGGCGTGAATATCCTGTTGGACCCTTAACACCTCTCTGCCAGAGCAATGAAAGCCAGCTTCAAAGTGAATATAAATGAAATTTATACTCTGTCAGAGCATTGTAAATAGGCCTTCATGCAAATGAGCATTGGGCAAAATTCAAAGTGGTCCCTTCAATGCCTAGATGGGGCTTCTGCTGAATATAGGCACCTAAATTGAAAAGAAATAAAATGGCCCTCTGCCAACACAAAATTCATTAGGAGCTATAATTTATTAGGTACCTCCATTTCAAATCAAGTCAAGTCAGTTCCAAGGCCACTATGACCATAGAGGCACCTTTGATGCTGTAACAAACCTTCTCCACTCTGCCCTGGGTTTGGCTAGCTTTGTGCACTCTGTCAGTTGAAGCCCTGTCCAGTCCTTAATATTTGTTCCCCAGCTCTTCTTGGGTCTACCACTTTTTCTCTTTTCCCCCACTGCACCCTGCATTATGGTGTTGGCAAGGGTGTCTGACCTTCTCACGATGTGTTCAAGCCACTGCAGATTCCTTCGTTGCCAGACTGCAGACAGAAGTTACACATAAACCAATTTAAGTGATCAGAAACTGGTTTAAACCTATAACAGAACATAAGTTCAGTACACATAAACCAGTTTCACAATACTGGTTTGAGATAAACCTGGTTGAACATAGTAGCAGGTTTTACAGATTAAGCTCAAACCAGTTTATGGAACTTCTGTCCCAGACCCCTTCTGGGTTTAAGTTAAATCAGAGTCCTCCAGCATCCCAGTATGCTCTGCAGCCTTGGACTGGGCTGTGCTCTCTGCTCCAGTGGATGCTGACCCCCAAAAAATGAAAGGGGAAGGGAAGATCTATTCTCCCTCCCTCCCCTGGCCCAGCAGCACAGACCCCAGCGTGATCTGCCAGGCAGGGGCACAGCAGCCTGTCAGGCATTTCTCTGCTTGATGCTCCAGTGGCAGGGGGGTGGCCAGCCCCAGCAGTAGCCTCAAGTGAACTGGCCAGGGAGAGGGTTTAATTCCCGATTCCCTGCCTGAGCAGCACAGATCCAAGCCAGGGCTGTCTGGCACTCCTCCTTCACTGTTGCTGCAGCAGCGAAGGGAGAGCGCCAGGCAGACCCCAGCTGAAGTCTGTGCTGGTGCGACAAGGAAGGGGGAATTAAAGGCCCTCCCTGGCCAGGTCACTTGAGGCTACTGCCAGGGCTGGCCAGGCCCCCCAGCATAGCTTCCCTGCAACCAAGGGCACGCTCTAGCACCCCCTGGCTTCTGGCCTGACCCACTGCAGGCATGTGCCTGCATTTCTTGAGTTATAAGTGAATGTCTATTCGCTTGCAAATTGGTTCGATCTAGGCAGGTTAGAGTAACCTGCAAAGGCTGAATCAATTCAGGCTCTGGCTTTTTGAATGCCTGTCTCTAGCCACAACCTCTAACAGTGGCTCATAGGTTCCAATTTTGTAACTGATTTGCTGCTTCAAAGACTCATTGGTCTGATGCTCAGTGTACAAGACATGCATCAGACTCCTAAAAAACAGTCTCCTAAAACACTTCCATTTGGGATTTCAAAATACTCTTGATGTATATACACCAGGGCTTCTGAGCATGCTCAAAAGTGATTCAGGTAGAGCTCATAAGTACACCGTGATTTACAGTGCCTCAGCTTCAACAAGAAGTGTTGGGAGTGTGCCCTCACCTAGTCTTTTCTATAATCTGGTGGTTAAGGGACTCTTCTGGGGAATGGAGGTGTGGGCTTGAATTTCCTCAGGGTGAGGAAGACCTATAACCCATGTCTCCTGTCATCAAGTCATCAAATGTTTTTTAACTACTAAGCTATTGGGCAAAAGTGAGCATGCTTAGTCAACAGCAGTATCAGAAGTGAAGTTAGATATTGTGAACCCCAAGTGAACACCAGACCCTAATGGACAGCCTAAGTCAGGTACCTTAATTCCTCAGAAGAATGGGAATCCTGTCACATACCTGTGCTTAGTATTTCCTACAGATATATATATCTATAGATAGATAGATATAGATATCTCTATATGTATATCTATCTATATACATAGATATAGATAGA